TTGTCCCTTTTTTTTGAGCGTGGAGCACCTCGTTTTTTTTTTTTTTTTTTTTTAGCTCTGAGCACATTGTGGAATGTGGTGTTAAGTATCGTCCTTCTACGCAACTATGATACTTCCTGCTCTTTCTGTCTCGCTGTGCGCTCACCTTACCTGCTCCGGCTCCATTCAGTCTCGCCTCCACAGTCAGCCCCAGAGGCACAGAGGACCCCTCCACACTCCTTGCCACCCCATCCTCCTCACATCCATTGGCTCTGGGTAAACTCCCAGGCTTAACCCTTGCCCCTGCTTTTGTTGTGTAGGCATGTATGCACTAGTGACATGAGGACGGAGATGCATGTCTTACATGCGGAAACTTATGCTGCGGTACACTTGCAACCATATCAAAAAGCGTAAACAGCAACTCTTGCTCAGACATTCAGAATGAAATGTAGACCTGTGCGCTCCCTCTCTGACACACGCATATCACATATCATCAACCTCTTGTACAGCTGCCACATATCAGCCTCTTAAAGCGTGTCTGTTGACTGTTGTCTAGATCCAAGGGAAATGGTGCCATCTGCTCTCAGCCATCGAGAACTGGTTTGTTACCATCCGACAAGGAATTTGCTCGGTGAAGATGCACAGCGTACATAACACTTGGGTCATTGAGCTTTTCATTACAGAAGTTCCTGCTTTCATGCATTCCCTCATGCAGATCACCATGCGCACACTCACATTCACTCTCCATTAAGCCACCTCTCGTGCACGTTGGTAAAAACCCCAAAAACTGTAATGGCCGTCTCTCATTTCATTTAATCTGCCTAGAGGAAGGCCGGGAGGCGGCCCAGTAGCCCTGATTAATAATAGGCTTTGGAAGCACGGTCTCTCTCTCTCAGCCACACACTTGGGCCACCACTGCTCTCCAACTTTATTATCATCTGTAATGAAAACCCCACCATTTACAATGTGTTTTACAAATTATCCAAAAAAGTATGTGAAATTACTGGGCTTCTGTTTTCCATTTTAGAAACTAGTTTTGTGTGGTTCCAGAGGCTTCTCATCTCAATCATTGCATCCTTTTCCTTTACACATGTTGTGGTGGAGTGATTGAATATGGCACATTTAAACAGCTTAGGCTCTAAAGTAAGATAAAGGATGTTACCCAGTTACTTTTATCATCAGACCTTTTAAATCATACAGTTTCTAGTCTGCTTGACCAAATGGAATTGCAACTTTCATTTTCTAGCACTGCCTACTGGATCTGGAGTGAGAGAGAAGAAATTGTGCAATTCCTTTTTGATAGTTCCCATCTTTAATTTTGTTCAGTGCTGATACCTTGTTTCAACTGTGTGTCTGTTGTCAGGTGGTCCTGGAGTGTGTCCTGCAGAAAGACCTTATTTACAACAAGGTTAACCCCATCTTCCACCACTGGAGGATCAATGGCAAAAAGTTTGGACTGACTTTCCAGAGCCCCGCTGATGCACGTGCCTTTGACCGAGGCATACGTCGGGCCATTGAGGACATCAACCAAGGTGTGTGTATGTGTGTAATGGTGCCTGCATGTGTAAATATCTAGAGTTTAGAGTAGGTCAAACCAAATAAGAAAGGCAGTACTAACTGAGTGTAACATAGCTTAACATAAAAATCAAGCAACCAGCATTTGCTATTGTTTCCCTATCAAAATAAAAATCAGAGCAGCCCACAGATTTTTTTTTTCTGCTACCCTCACCCCCTTCTACCCTCTCACCGTTTCAACAAAACAGCAGGTTTGTTTGGAATTACCCCTAAGAGGTTGCACTATACTGTGTGTGTTGGCAGCCATCCAATACATATCAAATAATACGGGTATATGTGTACAAATGTGGCATGCGTTCTTTTGCCTACAGCCTGTTTGGCGCTGTCGTTGTAATGGATGATCTGCCATCTGTTCTATGAGAGATGCTTAGCATTGATGACCCCAACTACATCGCCCAGTAATATCCCCACCCCCACTTCTACCTGAAAACTCACCCAAGCATGACCCCTCCATCTTATCAGTGCCAGGTGCCCAGATAAACTCTCCACTTCCTGTTAGAGGCTGTCGGGGCATGAGTGTGCCCAGACAGTGGGTGATAAAGGACAGGAAGAAGGGAGCAGGAGTTGAGCTGCAGAATGGGTGGCAACCTGAGATAGGGGAAGAACTTTAGTCAATAGAAACTTGACTATGTTGGGCTTTTGTACTGCTCAGACTTAGGTAAATTTGAGGACTGGCTTGGCTAGTCTCTAAACAGGTAGGACTCGATTAGGCTGTGTATAGTGTATTTATAAGTATTTTCAAGCTAAACTAGATATCACACTTGGGTGGAGCTGAGTCTCTTGGCAGCTTTTGGTCCTGCATTACTTTTCAGCACAGTGCCAGAGGTTGCATACAGTCATCCAATTAGCAGGAGAATTGCCAGATCAGCAATCTGCCACCCAGCCCCATGTTACACAAGAGGCTGGCTGGCTGGGGAGCTATAATCTCCTTTGCTCTCTAGTCTTGGGAACCCTGGGGAGCACAGAGGAGGTACAGCAGAACATACTGCAAAAGCTTAGCAGTGCTGTGCATCAGCTGCTTTTTGCCCACAATCGTTTATCTGAGATTTGAACTTCCTGGACACATACACTGTAGTCCATGCATAGTCTAGGCGTAAGGCAATCATGGACAAAAACTGTAGGGACAGGCTTTGCAAATAGTTCTGCCTGTGAGAGAGCTAGTTCTCTGGGGCAGTTTTACTTGATTAATATGTGCGTTGACTGACTGAAGATGAATCAACAACCATTTTGATAATCAAAATTTTTTAAGCCAAAAATAAAATCTTTCACCCTGTCAGATGTGAGTATTTGTGATTTTATAGTAGCAGTAGGTCAGACAAAACAAGAAAACTGAAGATGTCACCTTGACTGGGCAGCTGTTTCTCTTTTTTTTGCCATATTATAGACCAAATGATTAATCTAGAAAATAACTGAAAGATAGCCAATAATGAAAATAACAGTTGCAGTTCAAATGACAGGATGCTCTGTGGAAAAAGTCGAGCATCGGTGTGATTAAACACATTCCGCTCATGTCATCTAGAGGCTGTACAGTTTCTGTCTGCTAGTAAAGTCTTTTCTGTGAATGTCAGCCACATCAGGTGATGTTGAGTTTCATCTCCCTAGTGCCTACACTTCTTTCTCCCCCTCTCTCTCTGCTCCCTCTCTCTGCCTTGGCATCTTCTGTATCCTGCCAGTGTTGTGTAATGCCTTTCGTCAGCACAGGCAGGCAGGATCTTCTGTATTCCTGTTGCATCGTACTGCTGTGTGAATGTGTGTGGGGAGAGAAGAGGCAGCGAGAGAAACTGTTTGGCCCATGTGTACGTGCACGCACGTTGCGTGTATCAGTCTTGCAGTCCTCTGTTGCCATGGCAATACCGGGCACATGGCTCAGGCAGCTTCGCGTCCCAGCACTGCCAGAGTCGTGCTGCAGGAAGCCTCTTTCTCTCAGCTGTGGAGAAATGCGCACAAACACACCTTTCTCTATGTGATTTAGAGACAGATGGACAGACTGAGGGACCGACAGTGAATTTTTCTGTCATGTCTTTGGCAGTCAGAATGGCCATGTATTGCTGTATTCCCTCTCTAAGTGCAGACAGGCCAACTGATTCCTCACTGTTTCACATGAGGCCTCAGTGATCCTAATAAAGTGCAAGTTTTAAACAGGACCTCTTGATGCCCCAGGTACAAACAGTTTTCTCTTTATCCCAGTGGAAATGGTTTAAGCCATGTTATCTGCAACAGTGCCAAGACCCCTAGCCTCAAGCCTTTTCTCTCCTATGAAGTTTCTGTAAGTGTTTTCGTTTAACGTGAATAGTCGGGCTGCTGCTGCTTGAAGTCAAGTGCTAGGATTGTTATCGTCAGATAAGTAGTTGTATTGTATGCAAAATGACAATGTAAGTCCAAATATTAGTACTTGCAAATTAACAGTGATAATAAGTTGCACTGGATTTCAACCTTAATGAAGTAACTGAAGGTAAAATGAGTGTACTACACATGATATTGACCTAATGCAACATCCTTCAAACTAATAATAACAGAAGTTTTAGAACTAGTATTGACATCGGGCACTAGACAACGATGCTGCAGTACATTATTTATGTTGTTCTCAATATTAAAAATGACTACCCTGATGATTAGTTGAAAATGATTTAACAAAACAGTGTTTTGTGTAAAATTATCAGTGATATATTAGTGTCGTTCCTTGGGTTGCACCATTCACAGAACCAGTTTAATTCTAATGAACAGCAGTAATATTGTCAGCCTGGTACCTGAAACATAGGCTCCAACTTCAGTATCAGCAGACAAGTTGTTTCGGATGCAGAAATGGCACACAGTGTTTTAGCCGAGGTTGGGGTTACGTTATTTTAGGCATTTAAATTTCATTAAGTTCTGTGTGCCCCACTAACACAAAGCAGCTTTCATTTCCCCATTAGGCTACTGTCAGAGGAAAGCAAAAGTTCTCGGCCTGTCAAGAATCCACATGTATATCTGTTGGCTCAAATATGCTTGGCAGGGGAGATGTTTTCTGTTCACAGTGAAATAGTTTTGATAAATACAATGCAAGTTGTGAGCATTCTGATAAATGTAGCTAAAGGTTTAAAATTTATATTGTTGGTTGAGTGCATTTGTACAAGAAGTGGATGACTGTTGTTTAGAGTCAGGTACACAGTTTCAATCATTTTCTTAAATTATATATCTGGCAGGTAGTTTACTGTTCTAAGATTTTAGTTACTTTTTTTAACTGTAATGTGCCTATATTCATTTGGGTCAGTCCTCTAATCTTTTTCACTTCTGGGTTCTTCTCCAGGTTGTCGGTCATTTGGGGAAGGAGATGCTCCAGAGGATGGACTACTGGTGAGTGAGATCATAGTTGAGAAGTTTTAGTGTTGTGTACAAGAGTACCAATTTGTCTTGTCCAGATTTTTTAAAATATATCTTTTGTTAGAAAAAAATGCTCCAAAATGCAATTCACAAAGAAAGTAATTACACTCACCAATTTTTAAGGCAAGTATCTATGCATCATGGTGTTGGAAGTGGATGATTAAAATGTTAAAGTGCACCTACAGTCAAAGGTTTTTGCAGTGTTAGATTTATTACTTAACTCTCCCTCACTGGTAAATAAGAGGCAGGTCAGAGTTAGAACCTGAGCCATATGTCGAAAGCCTGATGTGTTCCAGCCAGGCACTGACACCTGCCTTTGTTTTCTAGCAGTTGTTGTTAGAGATTTACAGGTGTTTAACCAGTACCAGTACCTTGAGGCGAAGCTGGGTGTTGGCCAGTGAATGTGCTACCGACAAGCTTAGCTGTCTCTGTCAGTCTAACTTGGTAGCTGTCACTCTTGTTACAGTAGATGCTGAATATAATAAGTATTGTCTCAGGAGCGAGTTGTTCAAAAACAGCTTGGTAAAAACTGTGTGGTGGTAGTGTTCTCCAACCTACATTTATTTCATCATGAATCAGACCCTTTTTTGTTGACAGGTTAAAAAACTATTAGGGTGCATCATATTAAGAACTGTATATATTTGGCATGTTGGGATATATTGACTGTTGACTAGGGGTGGAACGGATCACAAAACTTTGGGGTCACAGATCAGGTAATTCTTTTGGATCAGCAAAAAAAAAAGACACATATAACTTCACTTTCCATTTATTATTTAAAGGCCTAAGGTGAGCACTTAAAGGAAGGGACTTTTGCATATGGTCCTGATTGAAAGCAACAATCAAGATCTTCAGTGTTTCAATAAAACCTTGAAATAAGCCCTAACCTTAACCCTTCATACATAATGGTTTTGTACACCACCCTTCTTCCGTCATCGCATTTTACAGGAAAGCCAAAATACTCCCATACATGTGACTTGATGATGCTGGGGGCTTTTCAAGTTCTTCCGCTTCTCCACTAGCCACGGCTCTTGCTGCCAAATGCCATAACATGCTCCTTTCACATGAACACAACTGCATTGTCTGTGTGGGTGTGTTCCAAAACCCGACTAGCATGGTGCAGTTTGTGCCGGATGGGCGTGGTCACCCTTCATTTTAACTACACTACGTATCAAGTGGCATGCTGGCACGGCCAGATGGAATCCACCCTATCTTTTTACTGCAACTCTAACTTTGTATTGAGATTTGGGGAGTTATTGCTTTACAAGATAACAGTAACAATTTCACGCTATAATGATTAAACGCTGTAATTAATCCACAGTTCACATGCGTTCCAAACTGCGGGGGGTGGTCCGTTCCAACCCCTACTGTTGAACATGTGTGATTAAAAGTGCCGTGTTCTCTTGAGCAGAGAAAGGCAGCAGGTATGTAGTTCAGGTCTACAGCACCCATGCTCATTTGTTTAAGGTATCAAGCCTGCTACAGGAATGTCACTCACCTTGTGATTGCAGTGTAGTAACTACATTGTAGTTGACAAGACACACTAGTGGGAGGAAGGGGAGTTCTTGTAATGTACAGTTAAACTGAATGACAAGAAATACAGACACGTCTGCACATTGTAATGCAGTTGAGTACATACAGCTGTCCTGCAGTAGATGCTACCTTTGTGAAACTTAATCACTGTTGACACTGTGTCAGAGAGCTGTTGATTTATCGCTTGTCATTTTTCAAACTGTACTTCACTGGATGTTGTACACAAAGGTACAACCTCAAAATGTACCATAGAATTTAGTTCAAATGCAAACAACTAAAACAAGCTTTTCCTGACTGTTAACTGAATAACCTCCACCAGTTCAACAAGATGTCCTTACAGTCTTATTTTTGACATGGCACTGTACCTCATCTGGCTAAGTTTTTAGCTATGAAGTTGTTGCACATGCCAGAGACTTGACATCACCTTTGACCTGTTTCATATCTGACGCCCTATGTGATGTTGACTTAGAAGACTAGTGAAGGAGGGAGAGCTGCGTTCCTGTTCCTGGGGCCAAGTTCCTCTTTAAGGAATTGGCCCGAACGTACAGGAAATCCAAAGGCACCACTGTTGCTAGGCAGCTGGGGGGTGGGGGTGTTCGAGGGGGTGTTCACGAGGTTCAGCGAGTGAGCCACCGAAGGTGTCACCATGGTGATTTGGCATCCGAATGTTGCGGTCGGAGACCTGGGCTACAGAGAAGGAGAAGTGAACCAGTGGCAAAGTACTGCAGTCAGACAAAACTATCAAATACCAGCACGCAAAAAGGTGTATGACACTGGTTCTGTTGCTTTATGCTCCACCAGAACGTCACTAAAAGCATGCACGGGAATATGGGTTGTGTTTAAAAATATATATCGTAATTACTATCTATGCTTGGGTCTTTAATTTGATGCTTTCCTTTAGAAATAGCAGATCTAGCCTGAGTGCCTGTGACCTTATCAAGGAAACCGACAGCATTGTATCATCAGCATGGGAGGTCACCATCAAGCCTTGTTTAGCCCTGTTGATTAGATTCAGGCATCTCTAGAAAAATCTCTAGGCCTTAAAATTAACTGGAATTTATGATAACCTTGCATTATTACAACTATCTGACTTGTGTGAGTGTGTGTGAGTAGGCTTGTCCGTTCATGTGTGTGTCAGTGTACATGCGTTCAAGACCATGTTCTCCACCCACATCCTGCCCACCAAGGCTCAGCACCCACTTGTATGCCCTTCACAAGCTTACCACATTCTTCCGCTCACTCAGAAACGATCACACTCTATATGTGTGGATGCAACATATTTCACCCATTTATCTTCAGCTGTGATGACCCACTGCTAGGAATCATGCTGAACCACCAGTCCTTCAGCTAGTACAAAGTGAAATGTGTTTTTTTTTCTTTTTTGAATGCCACAAGAAAACATCCGCATCTAATTTAGCACTGACAGGAAGTTTTCACTTATCGGCTCAGTACACAAAGGCTTTGTTGGTCACTTGAGTTTTATAGCCTCATTCCAGTAACAGAAACTTTCAGACTGGGGTGGTTTGACAAGGCTCTGCTGAGCACCTTGCTGCACCGGTAAAGAGGAGTGGTTTAAAGAACTAGTTTAACATTTTGGAAAATGTGCTTATTAGTTTTGTTGTTAAGAGTTGGTTAAGAAAATTGATACAAATCTCTCATATATGTCTTAGCTTAGGACACAAAAGTAGAAATGGGGAGAAGCAGGCAGCCTGGCTCTGTCCAGTTGTGACAAAATGAGGCTACCAGTACCTGTAAAGTTCACTAATTAATACATATGTGTTTCTTGAATTAAAAAAAAAAAAGTTTGTTTATTCGGGGGTTATGTGTCACACTATTCCTTGTAAGGTGCAGAGTTCTTTGGGTGCAGTTTACTCTCTGCTGATTGCACCTGGCCCGGAAATAGTCCAGCACATAAACCCCCATAAAATCATAAATTGTGATTTTTACTGCTGAGTTTATAAATTCATTAATGACATTAGAGGTGCTACTAGGTGGTTTCTGTTAACTAATGGACAGAGCCAGCCTACTTGCTTTCCACTGTTTCCTGGCTTTGTGCTAAGCTAAGCTAACAGGCTGCTGGCTGTAGGAGGGATATGCAGGGAGTAGCTGGTAACTTGGCTTGACTTCTTTATTTTTATGTCATCTAAACCCACAAATGAGCAACGCTTAGGATTAGTTTTTTTTTTTTTTTTTTAAGAGTAAAATACACAAATCATTTAGTATTGGTGATCAAATCTGTAAATATGAATGTCATCTTCTTCCTCTGTTGTTTCACTCTGCAGTGCAGAGAGCTAGTATGTTCAGTAGGTTGTCAGTATGTGGCCCAACCCCAGTCTCCCCTTTCCTGATCTCCTGTGCCTTTGAGGGCAAAAGTGCATAGATTCATGATGCTGGTATGGAGCCAGGTTGCCCCAGGATCCCACCACCTCCATCCCTCCCTCACACGGCCACATCTCCAGGGTTAGATCTGCTCCAGATTGACCCCCACGCATGCCTTTGAGTGGGGCTTAGGCAAGCACTTTAAAAGGAAGCCCAAGTCTGTTTCCCATTTCACCCTGCACCCCCCGCCCCCCACCACCACCAGCTCAACCTCACCACCCCTCGCTCCGTTCTCTCTTTCTCTCACATACACACACAGCTGTCATCTGGCTTTTTAAGTTCTGTGCTGCATTTCTCCAGCTGGAGCTAGTTTATGACATTCCCTCAGCAGACTCTTTGGCCTCTCGCTCTCTTTTTCCCTTTCTTTCTCTCACACATGCAGCCACACACACATGAATACAACACAAACTCATTTTTTCCTGTTCTGTTCTTTCTCTTCTCTCCCTCTCTGTCTCCTATTCCTCACATTCCCCTGCAGATGCTGCAGATGTGTGTTACACCACTTGGTACGTTTTGAGGCGAAGAAGCAACATCGCACACACATACACACACACACACACACACACACCATGTGTTAGCAGTCTAGAGCTGGGGGGAGCAAGCAGAGAAGGGAGAGTGAAGAAAGAAGAGAAGGGGTGGGGGGGTGGGAGTCAAAGGAAGCATCTCTTAGCAACCACAGGACAGTAATTACTGTAGCAGCAGCTGGGAGCAAACCAGATTTCCGCTGTGCGTTAAAGCACTGGCGTGGGCTACTTTACACACAGCACTGACTAACCAGAGCCAGCAGCCTCCTCCACACGCAGAGCAGAGAGAGGGAGAAGAGAGGAGGACTAACCCTGCCTTGATGAGGTCGGGGTGTGTGTGGGAAAGAGGGACAGCTAGCTAGTGTGTACAAGGCTTGAATGTGGTTGGATGAAGTCTTGTGTGTGTGTGTGTAAAGATGCCTCAGCAGGGTGTCCATCCGTGTTTGTGTATTTTTTAATGGAATCTGAAGAGTGAAATAACCCTAATGGCCATTATTTTGCAGTGTATTTGGATCATTTTCAGACAGTTAATCTATAAAGTCAGCACTGAGAAAACCACAACTTTAGTTTGGGATTTAATCAATTGCAGTTTAGTTTATTTTCATGTAATTTGCATGTGCAGGATAGTGTGAACATGCTAGAAGTTGTGGAGATAATTGTGCTGATATAGTGCTGGGCATAAAATATCATCACAAGGCTCTTGATGTAATAACTGACTATCCTCCCCCATCTCTCATCACCTCTGCACTCATGAATCATGAAATAGCCATCGCTTTTGATTTTGTTGCCATGAGTACTGAAGTATTGGACTGTTTCTGTTGGATTGTTACCTACTTATTTTATTTCTGTGACTATTTTTGCTGTATTTGATGCCATCTGTGCCATTTACAAGATGTTATTTATAGACACCTTGATTGATGTCAACAGTGAGCTGCCCTCTCGTAACTATAATTGATGGGCGAGGTAGAAGGAATGTTCACTCATATTTGCTCTTCTTAGTGTAGTTTCTGATGTTTCTCTCATTTTTATCTGTATGTTTTGATGCCCCCCTTTTTTTAGGCCTGTGTTTTGTAGATTTTGTATCAGTTAAAATGTCTGTGGGAGCACATGCAAGGCTGATGGGAACTCTGAGTTCTTAACAGAAGGGGCTTGAGTCATCACCACACGGCACAGTCATTTGGCCAAGCGTTGCCACAGGATGCCCCCTGGTGGTTACAAGTGGAACAGAGCCTACACACCCTGAGTCAAAACTGGTCATCATAAAAACTGAATCAGTTGACCATTAGGGTTTTTGAAGTGTTATGGCAACAAAATATTTGAGAATGGCAGATGTTTAAAGATGCATCTTATACTCAAATTGTAGGCGTTTTTACTGCTCAACCAAAATCCCCAAAGTCTTCATGTGTTGTTAAATTTGAATCCATCGTTGTTTTTGTTTGTTGATTAACCATTTAATCAACAAATCATTTAAATTCATTGATGTTTATGTTACTGGTATTTCTCTGATGTGCATCCATATGAGTAAATCTGTCTTTGGAAGAAGGGAAAGTTGAGATCTGTTTTTCTTTTAAATGCATTTTCTCAAATTTTACAAACCTACTTATTTATTTTTATTTTATTTTTTTCTTCAGGTGTGTGATGAGCCTCCCTCCATCTGTACCCCAGTGAAAGAGCCCTTCTCTCCTTTGAACAACATTGTCTCCACTGAGCCATTCAGGGGCTGTTACGTCCGCCCCCAACCCTTCAATGAATTCCCCTCCAGCCACC